ACCCACCTGTTTCTCTGCAAGATAGGTCTGTTTTCCTAGTCCTTTTCTGAGAAGAGAGATGGTGATTGATAGGGGAGATATGTCAAATGAGGGTTGGATGGGTAAAGTTGTTTAGGATTACGAACTTGTGGGGTATTATCTTTAAGACCCATTAGTATATTCCTTTTTCCTCTCTAATTTATTCTGTAGTTATTCTGGGGTGTGTTTTATATAAACTACACTATGCTTTTATCATGAAGTTTTTAAATCCATAAATATGCTGACAACTAAAGATGGTATTTTCAAATATACTAAGAGTTAAAGCTTCCTCCTTTGAAAACCCTAGTAAAAATTACTGCATATAGTACTTATTTTCAGTTCTCCGCTAATTCTTTCAACTCCTGTCTAGGAGTTACCACCTTTGAGTTCATTCCACCAGAATAAGCCATTCCCTTAAGAGACCATGATGCATCACAATTACATCAGCATTGTGTGATGACTTTGTATTAAAACTTCAAGAGACGCTGACAGTGCATCATGCATTAAGTCCCAGAAATGACTTCAGGACCAAGAAATTCCTGCAAATGGGACATGGGATTGTTCTGGTAACATTAAACTCCCTATTACAGGGAAATGGACCAGGATCACTACGTGTTTTGTGATTAAGTATTTCCTTCATTGGTTTAAAATGTACCTACTATTCTTGTCACTGAATGACCCCTTTTCTCCTATTATAGGACAGTGTATAAAAACGTATAGCATCTTCTTTATTTGTACAGTACCTAGCACAGTGGTGTCCCAGTTCATGACTAGGCCTGCTAGGTACTAGGATAAATAATAAAACAACCAAGTGACCACACTCCAGGATTTTGTTTGTGATTCTAGCAATTGCCAGAATTACTGAGCCAGCTGCAGCAGGGGCAAGGCAACGTTCAGTGTAGTAAAGAGTAATAGAGGCTGAATTTGATATTGACACACTGCACAAATCCAGAGATTTAGGTTTGGGCATTTGACAGGCTTACCCCTTTCTGCCCAAAAAAACCCCAACTATGAGCTGGGTGAAAGGCAGTCTTTCCACCTCTCAGTATCTGAACTGGAATGACAGTTATGATTTGGGTGCATCTCCTAAGTGGGAATTTGTGGCTACTGAATCTCTGGAGACCTGATTGGCTGAACTGGAGGAGCTAAGGGAGAGCAAAAGGTACATAGATGAGACTTTCCGGGACACAGTATAGTGGTACCACCCCAGTCTGACAGCCTATGTGTTGCTGAGGAGGCTGAAAGTTTCAGGGAAAGAGAACATCAAACTGGAGCAGAGGGAAACAATCCCATAGTTGGGACCCTCCTTCCAGATGATGGGGGAGAGAATCCCAGTTATTAGGAAGAAACAGGTAATAGTAATGGGGGAGTCGATCATTAGAAATATAGCTAGGTGGATTTGTGATGACAGGGAGAACAGGATGGTGAATTGCCTGCTAAGTACAAAGGTAACGGATCTCTTGAGACATCTAGATAGACTTATGTACAATGATGGGGAGGAGCCAGTGATCGTGGTACATGTAGGTACCAGTGACATAGGAAAAGATAGAGATCCATGTGCAGGGCCAGTTAGACAGGCAGAACTGCAGGGTCTCAATGCATGGATGAGATGACAGAGTAGGTAGGAGGGTATTAGGTTTATTAGGAAGTGGGGAACCTTTTGGGAAAGGAGGAGCCTATGCAGGAATGATGTGCTCCACCCAAACCAAAACAGAACCGGATTGCTGGCATGTAAAATTAAAAAGGTCATAGAGAAGTTTTTAAACTGAGGGCTGAGGGAAAGGAGACAGGTGTAGAGGGGCACACGGTTCGGACAGAGACATCCCACAGAGGAGGATAAGTTAACAGGGATTTTCTATATCCTAGTGAAGAGGAGAGGATAGAAGTTGATAAAGTACTGGTAGGAACTCAAGAGAAACAGTCAAATGAAAAAGAGTCCCATTCAATTCTATCACATGAAGGCAGGCAACTAAAAAGTGAGAGATTTTATAAGTGCTTGCATACAAATGCTAGAAGTCTAAATACTAAAATGGGTGAACTTGAGTGCCTGGTATTAAATGGGGATATTGATATCATATGCATCACAGAAACTTGGTGGAATAATGACAATCGACGAGACACTAACACCAGGATACAAAATACACGGGAATGACAGAATAGGTCATACTGGTGGGGGAGTGGCACTATATGTGAAAGAAATCATAGAATCAAATATAGTAAAAATCTTAAATGAATCAAACCGTACCATAGAATCTCTCTGGATAGAAATTCCATGTTTGAATAATAAGAGTATAGCAGTAGGAATACACTACCGACCACCTCACCAGGATGGTGATGATGGTCATTGTAAAATGCTCAGGGAGATCAGAGAGGCTATAAAAGTAGAAAACTCAATAATAATGGGGGATTTCAACTATCCCCATATTGACTGGGTTCATGTCACCCTAGAAGGGATTCAGAAATAAAGTTTCTAGACACCATTCTTGGAGCAGCTGGTCCTGGCACCCACAAGGGGAGAGGTAATTATTGATTTAGTCCTAGGGGGAGCTCAGGATCTGGACCAAGAGATGAATATAGCTGACTAGACCATTATCTAATTAAATTTAACATCATTATAGGGGGGGAAATACCAAAGAAGCCCACTGCAGTAGCATTGAACTTCAGAAAGGGGAACTATACAAAAATGAGGAAGCTAGTTAACCAGAAGTTAAAAGGAACAGTCACAAGAGTGAGATGCCTGCAAGGTGCATGGAAACTTTAAAAAAAAAAAAAAACACGATAATAGAGGCTCAAACTAAATGTATACCCCAAATTCAAATGAATAGTAAGCAGTCCCAAAATGCCACAATGGCTACATAAAAGAACAGGAGTACTTGTAGCACCATAGAGACTAACAAATTTATTAGAGCATAAGAGTAAAAGAAACAGAGGCAAAAAGATACCCTTTCAAAACTGAAAGTCAGATCCTATTGAGGAAAATAGAAAGCATAAACTCTAGCAAGTCAAGTGTAATTAGGCAGGCAGGCCTAAAAAGAATTAAGAGCAACTAGCAAAAGACACAAAAGCTAACAGCAAAAAAATATTTTAAGTACACCAGAAGCAGGAACGTTGCCAAACAATCACTGGGGCTACTTGGATGAGTGATGGACTAAAGGAGCACTCAAGGAAGATGAGGCCATTAAGGAGAAGCTCAATGAAATCTTTGCATTAGTCATCACTGCAGAGGATGTGATGGAGAGTCCCACACCTGAGCCATTCTTTGTAGGTTGAGTCTTCCCCAAACTATCCCCCCAAAGTGGGAAACATAAAGAAAAGAAGGAAACCTGGATCTGGGCCTGAGGATTTGTCTGTTCTGGAAGACCACTGAAGATATTGTACATAATAATACTTTGTACTTATGTAACTCCTTTTATTTGAGGATCTGAAAGGCTTAACATACATAATTCATTCAAGCCTCACCCTTCACCTCTTCTCCCCATGAAGAAAGTCAGAATAATTTGTTTCACAGATGGAGAAACTTAGTGCAGAGAAGTGAAATTATTTGCCCAAGGTCACACAGTGAACAATGGTAGAATTGGTATTAGAACTCAGAGGTGTGACTCTCAGCCTTCTGTTCTAACCATGAAACTATCCCTGTGAGCCTGACCCAGCACATCCTTATGTATAAAGAAAAGGAGTACTTGTGGCACCTTAGAGACTAACCAATTTATTTGAGCATGAGCTTTCGTGAGCTACAGCTCACTTCATCGGATGCATACTGTGGAAAGGTTTCAGAGGAACAGCCGTGTTAGTCTGTATTCGCAAAAAGAAAAGGAGGACTTGTGGCACCTTAGAGACTAACCAATTTATTTGAGCATGAGCTTTCGTGAGCTACAGCTCACTTCATCAGATGTATACCGTCTGATGAAGTGATGTATACATCTGATGAAGTGAGCTGTAGCTCACGAAAGCTCATGCTCAAATAAATTGGTTAGTCTCTAAGGTGCCACAAGTACTCCTTTTCTTTTTGCATACTGTGGAAACTGTCTTATGTACTATCCTTATGTATGTGCTTAATTCAAATTACATGAGTAATCAATCCCATTTACTAATCCCCAGTTATTTAGGCTTCTCACCATACTTGAAGCTGAGCACATACATACTTGTACATTCAGTGCCTGTGTCTCCTTTTTTAAGAACAGGGATTTGCCATTTTCCAGAATTTCTCCTCCCGTTGTACTTGCATGTTAGATAAATGACACCCAGCACAGATGTGGTTGCACTTCAGTGGCGCTGTCTTTATATTCGTCCTGCTTATCTTCACTCGGGTATCTTCTGAAAGCACTTATGGCTGATTGGGTGTAAAATGCCTCCCAATCACAATTCTCCACTCACATCGCAATAGCATCTTACATCCACAGTAAATGACTATACAAAATGCAAGGCTTGGGAGAATCAGACTCTAAAGAGCTGTTGTATAGAAGCCACTATATAAATATAAAATCTTATTTCTCTCACTACCACAGTACCACTACCTGTATGAATCTGAGCAGTTCCCCATCTCTGCACTTCAATTTCCCCACCTGTATAACACAGGGATAATCAAGTATGACTACAGGAATCCAACACGCCAGTATCTGAACCTCCCAGAGGGAGGGGACCGTCTCCTTGCCTATCTACTCCTACATGTACCAACCCCTGATTATTCGAACACATCAGCTGAGACAGTGACACCCATCCGCCCTTCTTTGCCTTTCCCGTGCTGGAGGGACTGCAAGAGCCTGCTAGGGACGAGGCTTCTTTCTCATTTGGCCTCAGGGTGAATGAGTGGCTGCGTTTGCAGTTTTGCAACAACAAAAACAAACCCCGCTGCGATTGCAGCAGCAGAGGCCGGATCCGTGCTCTCCGTGGCTTGTGGGGTCATTGAGAGAGCGCAGAAACCAAGGCACTCTCATTTCCTCTGGAGGAGGCGGAGCGGCGCCTTGAAGGAGTCCGCCCAGCAGGAGGCGGGGCGCCCTAGCTCCCTTGTCAGCATTAGCTCTGCGCACGCAGCCCCGGTTGGTTTTTCCCCGGTAGAAGCTCGGTTCCGCCTGAACCAGCCTCAGGGAGAGTGCAACTAAGGAGCGTATATGGAGCCGCCCAACAGCGGCTCTGCCAGCATGGAACGCGGAGCAGATACAATGTAGCAAGTGGATGAGCTGGGGAGAGACCGGAAGCCACCACCCTCGCCTATCATAAGGGAGACCGGTAGCGTCCTTCCCTCCTCCCTTTTCCCTGGAAATCCGTGTTTATCCCGGGAGTAGTGACTGAGATTTGGGCAGGCCCCGGCCCTTGAGATGCTCCCGTACAACTGCCGGAGATCGGGGTGAGGCCCTGGGCGGCTCCCCTCCCCCAATCATGCCTCCCGGACCCCCGTGAAACCCTTACTAGCCTCCCCGAAGTTGCTGAGCAGAGAGCACCATGGAGCTGGAGCTAGGCTGGGCGGCTCTGGTGCTGCTCTTCGCCGCCTCCCTGCTCACCGTCTCGGCCTGGCTGTTGCAGTATTCCCGGGGCGTGTGGAGCGGCCGGGGAAAGCCGGAGACCTCGGGAGGAGCTCTAAGGGAAGCAGGCATCTGGAAGTCCTTACTGAGACTGCGGGTGGCCCCGGACGGAGCTCCCGAGGAGGCGGTAGCGGGGGCCAGAGGGCTCCTTGCTTCGCTCTTCGCCTTCAGATCCTTCCGGGAGAACTGGCAGCGAGCTTGGGTGCGAGCCCTCAACGAGCAGGCCTGCAGGCACGGGGTAAGAGGCAGGGAGGAGGTGCTGGGCCGGAGCCGGGCATGGGGCAGTAACTCCAACTGGATTATGGGGTCAGCGTTTAGGGGATCGGGTGTTTGTACACCTCACAGAAATGTCACTTGAATAGCTGCTGTTAACCCCATTCTCTGTCTCCCCCAGCTCGTGTGAAATAGGCCTCCAAAGAACAAAATCGTGGTTGCCTATAAAGTGGCAAGTGACATGAAAGGGAGGGGCTTTCATCCCTCCTCAGATTAACCTTAAAGTGCTCTGGAAAACAGAAATTGCTGTGGATTTCCCTGACTCCTGTCCAAATAATCTTTGAATGGATAAAGGGGGGGACTCTTCTGTAGCCCGAGTAGAGTGGGACATTGGGAACTGGGGTCTTGGCTTGTCCTTAGTCATGCAGTGTTAATAATGAGAATTCAAGTGCACTGAAACCAGAAATGGAAAGTAAAGTTTTCACAATCACGGTAATGGAAGTTAGAGATGGAAAAGACCTTTCAGAAAATCCCCACATTGTGCCAAGTCTCTTCCTTGTGGGACATCTGACCACTTGCATAAATGAACTTTTTTGTGTTATCATATGTAATCTGTTAAATGTAGTGGGATATGTCAGACTAATACAATAGTTACTTTCCCACTAATGCCCATAATTACTAAACCTGAGCATACTTTAAAATGAGACTTTTTATCCTTAACATTTCTGGTTTTAAGTTCTACCTTTTGCTCATTTGGAACAATGATAATAGACTAGATAATTTTATTTTCTGCCTTTCATGCACTAGCCTAATACTATGTTGCGGTTGTAAGCACTGCAAGTATTTTAAGAATACTTTAAATATGAACTATTTTTGTTCTAAAAGATACTGAGATTTCTGTTTTAACAGTAAATTTTGTAAAACTATTTTCTAGCGCACAACTCTAAGTAATGTAAAACTATCTGACATTGCCAGTAAAAGGCTTCCACAGTAATCTTAACTTCTGAATTTCCTGGCCAATGTTCACTTTAATCTCTAAGCCTTAATATTGCATTATCGTAGGTTTTAGAATTGAATTTCCTAAAAAAGAACATTCCTAATTGATTCCTCATGGAAACAAATGTAGCATCCCACAGTGCCTGCAAGGTGATGACTTTCATTCTGGACCCAAAGAGAGTACAGGTATAGTGGGTCCAGTATTTGAGGTTGCCTGCTGTGGTGGAAAGGTTTGGGGACGTCCTGGCCTTTCTAGAGTGTTAAGAGGTTGCTGTAGGCTTCTAAAAGTCTGAGACAAAAGTCCCTGAAGGCTAGTTCGAAGTCATGTTCACACCAAAAAAGGAGATTGACAAGTTTATTATCTTTGTCACATCCAGGACTTTGCTGCCTCAATGAGAGGAGAAAATGGATATAAAATTTGTGTGTATTTTTGGGGAGGGAGGGAATGTTTTATCCAAGGGGAAAGCCCCATGTTGTTGTGGATTGCATTTGAAATGATAGTGCATAACGAAGCTGTGTGGAAGTATAGCCTGATCAGTGGAGCCTTGAGGCCTAAACTCTCATTTCCATAATTATCTTCCACAGCATAAAGCCAAGTAACTTTCCCCTGTAATTCTGTTGTTAATTCACTTGCTTCAATGTAGATCTCAGGTGATTAACTTGCCTTCCCCCAAGTCTGTTTTGTGTATGTCAGCAAGTTAGTCAGTAATATTGAATGTAGCAAATCCTGTACAGCACAGGAAGAAACACTTGTCTTGTAATCTCTCATTTGCATATAAAATTACAGTAATATACCATTGATTTTTCAAATGCAAAGTGAAACACAGAAATTCAGTGTTCAGAAAGACAATCTCCTGATAGGATAATGAGGCTGACTGTAGACTTTGTATATGTTTTAGCTTATTATTTATGTATACAGTATATCAGAGGGCTATACAAATGTGGCATATTGTTTCATGGAGGAAATGTTACAGGAAGTGATTAAAATGACTTTGTTGTCCAGACAGTAACAGTTAGCCTAATAGGGCTCCCAAACTCAGTACTGACTGCCTTCCACAGTTTATGTTGCTAAAATAGGTTTTAACCTGGCCAAGAAGCAGAATGGAATAAATAAGAAAGCAATGTTATGAAATAAGGAGTATGATGAAAGTTCAGACCACATAAGTCTCTCTCAGCTTTACCACACGAGATATTGTCAAAGTTGCTATCAAAATTCAGGGTTCGTGAAGTCTAACTTTCACAAATGCTAAATTGAATAGAAACATTTAAAAAAAATAATTCCATTGAAAGTGTGTTGAATGTTTTCTGATGTTTTTTTTCAATCTAAACATTGCACTTTTTAGTGCAGTAATGCGCAACCACTGGCAAGGAAAACTCACTAGCAACTACTACTCCTGCTTGCCTTGTCCAAGCTGAAAGAAACCCACAACCTAAACAAGCAGCATGACTAAAAATTCTTTGTTTTAATAATCTCAAGTGTTACTAGTTAAGGAATGTTAAAAATATATTTAACCCAGCCGTGCACCAGAAGAGATGGTAAAAAGCATTTTATAAAGGTTAACAGTCTTAAAGCAGTGTGTTCCAGCCCATTAAGTGCCCTACTGTGGATATGGACTCTGCATCACAAAGGATGCAAGTACCTGGTGTGGCTACCCATTCTGTTGCTGTGTTGTGGGTTCCTGATGTGGTTGCATGGCCTGTCATATCATAGAATATCAGGGTTGGAAGGGACCTCAGGAGGTCATCTAGTCCAACCCCCTGCTCAAAGCAGGACTAATCCCCAATTTTTGCCCCAGATCCCTAAATGGCCCCCTCAAGGATTGAGTTTACAACCCTGGGTTTAGCAGGCCAATGCTCAAACCACTGAGCTATCCCTCCCCCAACAATGCTATATCCAAAGGGTGAGAGAGAAGATATAATCTGTCAGGGGAACTGTACGTTTCAATGTCTTCAGCGCTGGTCTTAATCTTGTAAGATACCTGTAGAAATGTAACTAAAAGTGCCTGGCCTCCTCTCTTTAGGTTTAGGGGTCTTTCCAGCCCTTCCTCTTGGGCTGGGGATTGTCTGTCAAGCTGCTCCCTCCTTTGGTGCAGAGGCCCAGGGCTCCTCTTGTGGATTTCAGCCAGCTTCTCCTCCAGCAGGTGTGCTTCTCCAATTAGTCCCAGGCTCTGAGGGGTCAGCAGGGAGGCAGCCTTCTCCTGTTAATGTGTGAATGCCCTGAGGGAAGAGACAGAATATATACAGCTCTCGTTCCCAGACTAACTCTACAAGACTCCTGCTCCTTAGAAGAATACTTGCACGTTTTCTCCAAACACAGACTATTTCTCAGGACCACTTCCTCTCTCCCCATATCTGCCTTTGTGACTTTCCTAGATCCTTAGGTACCCCATCTAAAGAGGCCACACCCATGGGACAGGAGTGGGATGCCTCTAGACCCTACTGCCTTTAAGGGGATGGACTACCCTGTCAAGAGGTGTTTTGATGGGAGGGTGGATTAGCTAAACAGAGACAAAGCGTGGAAGAGGGGACACAAAAAGGCCTCCATGGTGCAAAAGGGTTAAAGCACCAGCTTTTCACCTCAGGACGCCTCGGTTCAAAATTAGGTCTCAAGCAAAAATTACTTTTCACTTCTTGTCTTTAACACTTGTTCATGTTTCGGATCAGCCATTTGCATCACAGCTATGGCTCTTGTTTGGATGAACTCAGAGCTGGAATTGTAGGGCAGCTGCAGGTTAGGACAGAGATGTCAGCAGACTAGTGTGCCAGGAGCCCATGACTGAAAGAGCAGCAGGACTCTGGGTCAGGATGGAGGAACATTGGCAGAATTTTTGCCTGAGATTCCAGGACTGTTGTAGCAGACGGTCTGCAGATTGGAGCTCAGGGAGCATTTGGTTTATGCTCAGGTACCTTTATAACTAGCGAGATTCTTTTAAGTGTGAAGGTTGCATCATGATTAGGTAGCTGCAGCTGGAATCTTTTTTTTTTTTTTCTGAAGCTGCAGGAAAAGCTGCAGTTTGGCTCTTGTACTCTCTCCAGGTTTTTCATTCTCCTTATGGGGGGGGACATGTCCAGCCTCATGCTGACCTCTAATAAGGAGCAACATCTGAACCTGCCTCCCAGCAGGTGAGCTCCCATGACACTGTAATACCCAGTGTTTTATCTGCTGTGTCGTGAAATAGAAGCACAGCTCTAGGCATCTTGCTTTCTCTCTGTCCTCTCCTAAACCCTAGTCATCTCTGCAGGCCCAGAGGGGAATCACTCCAAAAGAACAGAGCAGCTCACCCCCAGGTTGGCTGTGGATGGAAGTCAAAGTGAGGCATCTTTCTGAGTGGCAAAAACAAATGCAAGGACAGGGATGCTCAGATTCCTCCTGAGAGGACAGAAATTAAGATCTGGAGTCCTCTCTTCAGCAACAAGCTGGGGGCGCCATAGCTTGAGGCGCTGAAATAGTGGGATGTTGATTCTCTGGGGAGAAGGGAAGCAGAACTTGAAGGTGGTGGCTGCCATATTTACTCAATGCTGTGAGATGTCAGACATCCTGAGGGTATACTGCAAAATGCAAATACAGGTCTAGCCGCTGCGCTTATGTGACAGCATGCTTCCCAGAAGCAGATTGCAGCTGTGGAGAGGGAGGTACTTGCCTACTGCCACCTGGAGGCAAAAGCTCTGGGAGTGTTGTCCATTTTGTTATCTCAGTAGCAGACCCCACCACCACTTGTGTACTCCTCCATATTTCGCACAGTTTTCCCTTGTGGTTGGAGTGTCGTCTACATTACATGAGCTGGGTTCATGAGCTTAAAGCTTTATCAAGGCCTTTTTTTAAAAAAAAAAAAACTTTTCCAAATCTGGAGACCGGCAACTAAACTGGAATTGATGCGGGGGGCAGGTAGAATCAAACCCAGCTTGAAATAATTTGGCCCCAAAAACAAATTGTTAAAGCAGATTGGCATCAGCCACAACCCCCCATGTGATCTGACATTGCCATCTCTGTCACTGCAGTCCCTCTGCCTTTGACACAGTGTTCTTTCACGTGATTTATGTATTCACCAAAACCCTCCTAGTGTGACTGCAGCTCCTGTCTGTTTCTTGTTTCTCTTTCCCCGCTCTCTCTCCCTAAAAAATCTTTGCTGCTGCCCTTAGTGAGTTCATGGGTAACAAGCAAAGAACTGAGAAGATGCTCTTGTTGATGCTATTTCTTGAAAGCCACGTTGCCGTGTGAGGGGGTTTGGGATTCTGAAGTGTCTCTGGCCCCAAGGAGAACTATGTGGGGTAACTTTGTAGCTGCGACTGGGTTGCCAGACTCTATTCTGAAATATTGGTTTTGGGGATGCAGCAGCCATGGATGCTGGGTTCAGATATCATGGGTTGCTATAATTTCCATCCATGCTGAGATCTGTGTTTAACGGATACCTCCTGAGTGATACCTTTTTGTAATACCCTAGGGCTGAATGCATAAGGAGCTATTCATAAACAAAGCCTTTGAGCTATGGAGCGTTGGCAAGGAAGAGTTCCTCTCCCTATGCTGTGTGCGCGGCTGGGTAGTGATTCCTATCTGAGCCTCCAGTGGTGAACTTGTACCCCTCAGCATGATGCTGTCATAGCTACAGATATTATTTGTCATGGAATCCTCCAGCCCTTGTTTAAATCTCCCAGGGCCTCCTCAGGCTGGGAATTTCACAAGCCAACTCCATGCCATGCAAGGAAGTCTTTCCTCTTATTCATTCTGAATGTGCCTACTCTCACTGTCACCCACTTGTCCTCTTGTATGGATGCTGCTCTGCGCTCATGCTGTTCTCACGTGACTGCCATATAACATTTCTGGAAGCCTCTTGTTGGAGTTGCTAACATTCCTTGAAATGGCTTTTAGATAAATTGACCTTGTTTGGGGACTAACTAGATTCTCTCACCCCAGAGTTCAGTCCAAATCACATTTGAAGAGAGTCTTCAGCAACCACCAGCGGTGAATATAAGTCAAGTGACCTGCACAGACCAGGCAGACCACAGTATGGTAAGGCACTGCTGTTCTCCATTTTGCTGTGCTCTGTATCTTTTCACTGAGTGCTAGTGTATATTCTACAATATACTTGGCCTTTAAGACTGGGACAATGGATGTGGGAATGGGGCTGCAGGCCAGGGTTGAGATGTCAGAGCTATGAGGAGGGGGCCACTCGATATTGGAATAGCTGTAGGGGCAAGCTCCAGTCTAGGATAGTAGTGGGGGTGCAGGTTAGGAGTTGACTGAGCTGGCTGGGGAAATTGACACAGTGCTTGCATCTTGCACTATTCTTGGCTCTGACCAGTGCTGTTGGACTCTCAACATCACAGCCTTACAATTCAAAACAGAGGGGACCCTGTAAAACAGAGGTGATTCAGTAAGAGTACATCAAAGGTTTAAGCAACAAATTCTTGAGGTAACTGTGGTCACACCATGAGCAACCCTTGACAGTCCTCTCCAGTCATTTGCATTCCCCTGGCTTCTGTCTGTTTCCCCTTCAACCCAATTCTCTCAGGGAGGCTGCTGCAGACTCTCCTCTCTCTTCTGTCCAGGTGTTGCACTGTCATCTGTCAGCTGATGCTGTGAAGTTCCCAGTCTCTGTCACTCAGCAGTCTCCAGCTGCTGTTTCCGTGGATACCTATCATGTCACCTTAGCTCTGCTGCAGGCCCAGGTAATGAATGCTAAATTGCTGGGTTAAAGACTTCCTCTTTCCCTGTCCCCTAACCGTTCTACAAGTCTGCAGGAGGGAAGAGCTGGCATGAGTCACGATAACAATCCTCCTGTCAAAACTGTGGGGTTAGCAGGATTTCCCTGAGCTGTGCGTTCAGGGAGCTGCTTTCTGAGAATCATGATATAAAACTTACTATAGACCAGGAGCGGCCAACCTGAGCCTGAGAAGGAGCCAGAATTTACGAATGTACGTTGCCAAAGAGCCACAGTAATATGTCAGCAGCCCCCATAAGCTCCTCCCAGTGCGTCCCGATGATCAGCGCCTCCCCCTCTCTTCCCACACCTCCTGATCAGCTGTTTTGTGGTGTGTAGGAGGCTCGGAGGGGGAGAAGCAAGGGCATACATAGCAGCCTCAGGGGAGAGGGCAGGAAGGAGTGGAATGGCGGCAGGGCCTGTGGCAGACCCAGGGGTTGAGCAGTGAGCACCCTCCCGCACATTGGAAAGTTGGCGCCTGTAGCTCCAGCCCCGGAGTCGGTGCCTATACAAGGAGCCGCATATTAACTTCTGAAAAGCCGCATGTGGCTCCGGAGCCACAAGTTGGCCACCCCTGCTATAGACCCTGTCTATGTAGGCATAACAAAATCCAGTGACTGGATTTCTGAGGCATGGTAATGGCCTATTTGTGTTTTTGTAACATGCTGTTTTTTGCCAGGCTGGACAGGAAGCATGGAGTCCACATAGTCAGGCTCTACTGCAAAATGTGAAAGAGCTCTGTGACCCATCTGTGTTCTAAACAAAGGATTTTTCTTGTCTGCGGGAAAATAAATCCATAATTGGGAAACTCTGTGTTTAGCTCTGTTGATCCAGGGTTCCTTACCTCACTCATAAGAAGTTTTCTCCCTTTTGACCATTTCATTTATTGGGTATCTCCAAACTTTTCCCAGAGAACAGCCCTTTTAATCCCAAATTAATTTAAAAGAAAAATAACTCCCAATAGCTTCCTGCTGAGTTGTTTGTAAGATCCTTCTTGAAAGCCTCCAAGGTCTGGGCTCCTTCTGAAGAAAGCATTGTTGGAAATGCATTTTTACTGAGACTGTGTTGCTCAGTGGGATTGGGGAATGGAGCAGTGGAGCCTTCTGCATTGAAGTTACAGATTCAAATCCAGCACAGGTTGTATTTGCCCATTTCCAGGCTATTTGGTGGCCCAGTTGGTTCTCAATCCAGTTCCCCCCAAAAATTGTCATTACTGTAAATGTCCGTGCTCAGAACTGGAAATGGTTGGTTGATTGGTCTCAGTGGAGGTCCTGTATTAATAGCCAATTTGTTCTTCATTGTGTCACCTTCCAGGCTTTCTGTTCAATCTGTGAAATAATGAGACATATTATAGTCTTATTCTCCTCTCACCAATCTCTGTGCTTCACATAGAGGTGAGAAATCAGGATGGCTATTACTGATCTTTCTTTGAGTCAGTGAGGTTTTCTGGGATGGTTCTTACCTCTCTGGACTCTGAATATCATGCTGGCATACCATAAGCATGGCATACCATAAGCAAGCCCTCTGTTTACAAACTATTTGGCACAGATTGGTTTGTGATGGTTCTCTTTGCCTTTCACCGTACTAGGTTACATGAGGCCCTGTTGGTGATTTAATCCCAAATCAATGAACAGGGCATCTAATAACAAGTTGATTCCTAATGGTCCTCTTTTGACCTGAGCCAGGTGGAGATCCGTTTGGAGGAGATGAAGAATGAGGGCCTGCTGGTGTCATGGACATTCAAGGACCGACCAGACTTGAACCTTTCAGTTGTTCCGAAACTTCAGCCTCGTGAAGTGAGCAAACTGGAGGAGCAAGGAAGTGGGGCTGGGGCTGAGAACAGGCATGGTGGGCTGAACCCAGTACTGGGCTGTAACTTGGGAAAGGCAAGGAGCTGGCAGCCTTTCCTCTCTATACCCTTGTCTATATTAGTATCTTTTGGTTGTTTGATTAAAGGGCGAGGAGTGGGATCTTCCACTCTTGAACTAGCGTTGGTGCAGCACCACCAGTGGAAGCACGAGTGTAGACAAGGTGCCAGCAGCTACAGCTGTTCTAGCTATGCTCTCCGAGCAGGGCGAGATGCTTGTGTACACAAGTTCTCCCAGCATTGCTGCCAGTGGTGGAGCTGCTACAGGAGGAGAGTTCCTCAAAAAAGTTAGTGCAGCACAACCCACAATATCAACCGCTTAACGAAGTGGACACTGGTGCACTTGTGCCCCCTACAGCATTTCCTGTTTAGTCCCTCCAATCCCATAAGTCTTAATTGTGTGGTATGTGTGTACTGAGAATCTGGCTTCCCCCGGCTTCTTCTTTCTGACTCAGTGTAGCAATCCAGCTGCTGTCTCCAAAGTGCAGCAGGTTCGTCACTCATCCGTCTCACACGCTTGTGATAGTTTGGGGAGCTCTAATGACTATTGTCATGATTTGGAGTGAATGCAGCTCTTGGGGAAATTGCAGGCACTTGGCCTTAACCCATTTGCTTTGAAACACTGTGAGAGTATGGATGTATGTGCATGTACACCGTGTATCTATAAGCTGTACTATGTACATAAGCTGTGAGTGACACACCTGGTTTACCCCTTTTTAGGAACCCTAGAGGGAATGCAATATAGACAAATGGCATGGGCTGAGTATGACCCTGTGGGAGGTGGACTGGGGCCGTCTTAATGGCTTTGATAAGAAATCAGGAAAGCAAATTATCTTCTAAGGAGGAAACTGTTCCGGTAACTTGGCTTGTTTTGGTTTTTTTTGGGGGGGTCTTTTTCATTTTGGTTTGCTGGGAAGAAGAATGATGTGAAAGTGGATCTGTCTACCATAAAGGACCTGATTGAGGACTCAGTTGTCAGCACCCAGCCTGCCATGATGGTGAATCTGAAGGCATGCACTGCTGGTAGTAATGTGGTAAGGCTCTCCTAATTTTCAGCCTAATTAGCCTGTGGAAGTCACTGCAACAAGATTACCAAGGTTAAGAGCATGGCATGAATCAAAAAGCGTTAGATGTGTTTGGGGAGGTTAATACTCTCCATTATACTGCTGGGATTAAAACTACATGGCTGTTAACTCATTTTTTAGGTCATAAAATGGCTATTAACTGCCAGGAATTAGGAAGAAACTTCCCCTATGGGTTAAATCCATAACTGTCTATTATAGGCTTTTTCTACCTTTTTCTGGAATAGTGGGTGCTGGCCACTTTGAGATGGGGAAACCAGACTAGATAAGAACATTGTTTTGATGTCTGGTAATCCTCTTTTCCTTCCCCGTATGCCTTGAAAGCAGTGGGGATTGGGGAGGATCGCTGGCTGGCTGGCTGATATCTATTAGAGGAGGGGTGGGCAAACTACGGCCTGTGGGCCACATCCGGCCTGCTAGTCATTTTACTCCTGCCCATTAGCTCCTGCTGGGGAACAGGATCTGGGGCTTGCCCTGCTCTGGCACTCCAGCTGAGGAGCAGGGTCGGGGGCCACTCCGCACGGCTTCTGGAAGCAGCAGCATGTTCCCCCCCCCCCTCCAGCTCCTATGCGTTGGGGCAGCCAGGGGGCTCTGCTCCACATGCTGCCCCTTCCCCATGCACTACCCACACAGTTCCTGTTGGCTGGAACCATGGCCAGTGGGAACTGTGGGGGCGGTGCCTGTGGATGGGGCAGCGCACAGCAGAGCTGCCTGGCTGCGCCTCTGCGTAGGAGCCGGAGTGGGGACATGCCGCTGTTTCCGGGAGCCACTTGAGGTAAGCACCGCCCGGAGCCTGCACCCCCAAGCCACCCTCCCGTGCCCCCCATCCAAACCCCTCAATCGCAGCCCAGAGCACCCTCCTACACCCCGAACTCTCGTCCCCAGCCTCGCCCCAGAGCCTGCACTCCCAGCCGGAATCCTCACCGCCCCCACCACCTGTGCCCCAACCCCCTGTCCCAGCCCTGATCCCCCTCCTGCCCTCTGAACCCCTCGGTCCCTGCCTGGAGCAACCTCCTGCACCCCAAACCCCTCATCTCCCAGTCCCACACACATCCGCAGCCAGAACCCTCACCCCCCACACCACATCCCGGAGCCCTCTCCTGCACCCTGAACTCCTCATTTCTGGCCCCACATAGAATCGTAGAATATCAGGGTTGGAAGGGACCTCAGGAGGTCATCTAGTCCAACCCCCTGCTCAAAGCAGGACCGATCCCCAATTAAATCATCCCAGCCAGGGCTTTGTCAAGCCTGACCTTAAAAACTTCTAAGGAAGGAGATTCCACCACCTCCCTAGGTAACGCATTCCAGTGTTTCACCACCCTTCTAGTGAAAAAGTTTTTCCTAATATCCAACCTAAATCTCCCCCACTGCAACTTGAGACCATTACTCCTCGTTCTGTCATCTGCTACCACTGAGAACAGTCTAGATCCATCCTCTTTGGAACCCCCTTTCAGGTAGTTGAAAGCAGCTATCAAATCCCCCCTCATTCTTCTCTTCCGTAGACTAAACATCCCCAGTTCCTTCAGCCTCTCCTCATAACTCAAATGTGTTCCAGTCCCCTAATTATTTTTGATGTCCTCCGCTGGACTCTTTCCAATTTTTCCACATCCTTCTTGTAGTGTGGGGCCCAAAACTGGACACAGGACTCCAAATGAGGCCTCACCAGTGTCGAATAGAGGGGGACGATCACGGCCCTCCATCTGCTGGCAATGCCCCTACTTATACATCCCAAAATGCCGTTGGCCTTCTTGGCAACCAGGGCACACTGTTGACTCGTATCCAGCTTCTCGTCCACTGTAACCCCTAGGTCCTTTTCTGCAGAACTGCTGTCTAGTCTGTAGCGGTGCATTGGATTGTTCTGTCCCAAGTGCAGGACTCTGCACTTGTCCTTGTTGAACCTCATCAGATTTCTTTTGGCCCAATCCTCTAATTTGTCTAGGGCCCTCTGTATCCTATCCCTACCCTCCAGCGTATCTACCTCTCCTCCCAGTTTAGTGTCATCTGCAAACTTGCTGAGGGTGCAATCCACACCATCCTTCAGATCATTTATGAAGATATTGAACAAAACCGGCCCCAGGACCGACCCTTGGGGCACTCCACTTGATACCGGCTGCCAACTAGACATGGAGCCATTGATCGCTACCCGTTGAGCCCGACGATCTAGCCAGCTTTCTGTCCACCGTATAGTCCATTCATCCAGCCCATACTTCTTTAACTTGCTGGTAAGAATACTGTGGGAGACCGTGTCAAAAGATCTGCTAACGTCAAGGAACAACATGTCCATTGTTTTCCCTTCATCCACAGAACCAGTTATCTCGTCATTGAAGGCAATTAGATTAGTCAGGCATGACTTGCCCTTGGTGAATCCATGCTGACTGTTCCTGATCGCTTTCCTCTCCTCTAAGTGTTTCAGAATTGATTCCTTGAGGACCTGCTCCATGATTTTTCCAGGGACTGAGGTGAGGCTGACTGGCCTGTAGTTCCCAGGATCCTCTTTCTTCCCTTTTTTAATGATGGGCACTACATTAGCCTTTTTCCAGTCGTCCGGGAATTCCCCCAATCGCCATGAGTTTTCAAAGATAATGGCCAATAACTCTGCAATCACATCCGCCAACCCCTTTAGCACTCTCGGATGCAACGCATCCGGCCCCATGGACTTGTGCACTTCCAGCTTCTCTAAATAGTCCCAAACCACTTCTTTCTCCACAGAGGGCTGGTCACCTCCTCCCCATGCTGTGCTGCCCAGTGCAGCAGTCTGGGAGCTGACCTTTTTTGTGAATACAGAGGCAAAAAAAGCATTGAGTACATTAGCTTTTTCCACATCCTCTGTCACTAGGTTGCCTCCCTCATTCAGTAAGGGGCCCACACTTCCCTTGACTTTCTTCTTGTTGCTAACATACCTGAAGAAACCCTTCTTGTTACTCTTAACATCTCTTGCTAGCTGCACCTCCAGGTGTGATTCGGCCTTCCTGATTTCACTCCTGCATACCCGAGCAATATTTTTACACTCATCCCTGGTCATTTGTCCAATCTTCCACTCCTTGTAAGCTTCTTTTTTGTATTTAAGATCAGCAAGGATTTCACTGTTAAGCTAAGCTGGTCGCCTGCCATATTTACTATTCTTTCTACACATCGGGATGGTTTGTCCCTGTAACCTCGATAAGGGTTCTTTAAAATACAGCCAGCTCTCCTGGACTCCTTTCCCCCTCATGTTATTCTCCCAGGGGATCTTGCCCATCTTGTTCCCTGAGGGAGTCAAAGTCTGCTTTTCTGAAGTCCAGGGTCCGTATTCTGCTGCTTTCCTTTCTTCCTTGTGTCAGGATCCTGAACTCGACCATCTCATGGTCACTGCCTCCCAGGTTCCCATCCACTTTTGCTTCCCCTACTAATTCTTTCTGGTTTGTGAGCAGCAGATCAAGAAGAGCTCTGCCCCTAGTTGGTTCCCCCAGCACTTGCACCAGGAAATTGTCCCCTACATTTTCCAAAAATTTCCTGGATTGTCTGTGCACCGCTGTATTGCTCTCCCAGCAGACATCAGGATGATTGAAGTCTCCCATGAGAACCAGGGCATGCGATCTAGTAACTTGTGCGAGTTGCTGGAAGAAAGCCTCGTCCACCTCATCCACCTGGTCCAGTGGTCTATAGTAAACTCCCACCACGACATCACCCTTGTTGCTCACACTTCTAAACTTAATCCAGAGACTCTCAGGTTTTTCTGCAGTTTCATACTGCTCTCTTACATACAGTGCAACTCCCCCACCTTTTCTGTCCTTCCTGAACAGCTTATATCCATCCATGACAGTACTCCAGTCAGGTGAGTTATCCCACCAAGTGTTATTTCAATCACATCATAATTCCTTGACTTTGCCAGGACTTCCAGTTCTCCCTGCTTGTTTCCCAGGCTTCGTGCATTTGTGTATAGGCACTTGAGATAACCCGCTGATCGCCCCTCTTTCTCAGTATGAGGCAGGAGCCCTCCCCTCTCACGTGCTCCTGCTCATGCTTCCTCCCGGTATCCCACTTCCCCACTTACCTCAGGGCTTTGGTCTCCTTCCCCGGTGAACCTAGTTTAAAGCCCTCCTCACTAGGTTAGCCAGCCTGCTTGCGAAGATGCTCTTCCCTCTCTTTGTTAGGTGGAGCCCGTCTCTGCCTAGCACTCCTCCTTCTTGGAACACCATCCCATGGTCAAAGAATCCAAAGCCTTCTCTCTGACAACACCTGCGTAGCCATTCGTTGATTTCCACGATTCGACGGTCTCTACCCAGGCCTTTTCCTTCCACGGGGAGGATGGACGAGAACACCACTTGCGCCTCAAACTCCTTTATCATTCTTCCCAGAGCCACGTAGTCTGCAGTGATCCGCTCAAGGTCATTCTTGGCAGTATCATTGGAGAAGCAGGAAGGGGTAGCAATCCAAGGGCTTGATGAGTCTCGGCAGTCTCTCCGTCACATCGCGAATCTTAGCTCCTGGCAAGCAGCAGACTTCTCGGTTTTCCCGGTTGGGGCGGCAGATAGATGACTCAGTCCCCCTGAGGAGAGAGTCCCCGACCCCTACCACCCGCCTCCTTCTCTTGGGAGCGGTGGTCGTGGAACCCACAACCCTAGGACAGTGCATGTCATGCCTTCCAATCGGCGGAGTCTCCTTCTGCTCCCTTCCCTCAGACGTATCATTTGGTCCACTCTCCGCATTAGTACCTGTGGAGAGAACATGAAAACGGTTACTTATCTGTATCTGCGCTGCTGGTAGATGGACGTTCCCCTTTTTCTTCTGGAGATCACATGATGCCAAATTTCTTCACCGTCCTCCTGTCCCCGATGTGCAGTCTGCTCTGAATCTTCAGAACCTTGTGCCCGTAGAAGGATATCCTGATGTCTGTCCAGGAAATCTTCAGTTTCTCTTATGCAACGCAGAGTCAATACCTGTTGCTCCAGACCTTGAACCTTCTCTTCCAATATGGAGACCAGCTTGCACTTTGTACAGACAAAGTCGCTTCTGTCCTGTGGAAGAAAGACAGACAAACATAGCACATCCAGTACAGGTCACAACAGCTGAACACCCCCCCATCCATATTACCTTCCTTCTATGAGCTTCCCACCCCAAAGCCTGCACCCCCAGCCAGAGCCCTCACCCCCTCCCACACCCCAACCCCCATTTTGTGAGCATTCATGGCCCGCCATACGATTTCCATATGCAGATGTGTCCCTTGGGTCAAAAAGTTTGCCCACACCTGTATTAGAGTGTTAAAGGAACAGAGGAAATGGAATCTGGGCTGAAGAGTGGGGACTGGATGTGCAGGTGAGTGCAGAGGAGACCACCCAGAAACGGTAATTAACCAGCTAATAGAATGTCTGACTTATTTCACCTATCCTCCATAGGCAGTGCAGACTTGTTCCCTATAGTCAGTTCCTCTGTTTGCTCTGTTGTCTTAAGCAATGCTGCTCTCATAGTCACTTCCCTGCTCAGGCTCCTCCACAGATTAATAGGCTGTGGGCTGCTCTGGGACCAGCTCAAGTTCATGAATGGCTTCTCTGCTGTATTCATGCTGAATACCATGAGTTGCCATAGGACAATCAGGGATGCATATCATAACAGTCAGTACTGCATTTGGTTGATTGAGGTTATTCAGCCTCCTTCTCACTGAGCTATGTCTTCTCTTTTAATGTTCCCATCTGGCCTACTGTGGTCCTTTTACTCCAATCTGTTGGTTGGAGAAAGGGATTAGTGGGGGTGTTTCAGTTAGGCATCGTTGATCTGTCTACCTCCTATTTTATTCCTCAGATGTCCTGTGAAAAACTGTCCCGAGAGTCCCCATCTAATATAGTGGCCCCGACGGTGTCCAAGTTGCTTCTCCGGCATATGCAGGTGCTCAACTTGAGCTGTGAGGAGGAAGGAGGTAAGAAGGGAGAAACCAGTCAACCTTCGGGGGAGGGGGTGTAAGTGTGTTTGACTTCAGAGGATGAAAAGACACTTTGCTCTGATGGTCTTCAGGGTGTGGGCTGGAGGGATGCCAGCATGCTGAGCAATATCCTAATAATTCACTCTGTAGAACTCTGATCCTCTCATCCTCATTTCCATTTCCCCTGAGCCGTGTTCTCTATCCCAGGAGGTGGGAAGCTATGCTGTGTAGCCGAGCTAGACAGTCCTCTGCAGCAGAAGTGGACAAAGCCAGCGAGAGCAAGCATTTCCAGCACTGCAGCAGCAGTGGAGTGGAATGAGGAGCTCATGCTGTAAGGAGCAGGTGTTTGCTTTTTCAGCTAAGGGAGGGTTGCAGCCAGTGTGCCAGGTCTCTGGGGTACATTAGGGATGGGTATATTTCCGATGCCAACTATCCTAGATGTAAATTCCTTTGTATTGGCAGAAGTTAGTGTTCATATCCCTGCTGTTCCCATCCTGAGTACCCATGTAGTTTTTCTAGTGCACCCCAATCCAGATAATAATTTCACTTCTGATTTGTAGCACTGCTGCTCCACCTCCCCTTATGTTCTTTGCAGCTGTGCAAGTGCACCTCACATTTGGAGCAGGAGCCTTCTTCTATCACCCCCCACCAAAAAAAGGGTGCGGTAAATTCTTGTGAAAAGGTGCAGGTGGGTGAGGAATAGGGTCAGTCAGAGGAAAGGAGTTCTTGGGTGGAAGTCTTTTGACATGTGCCGGCACCAATCCTCCTGTTTCTGTCTTGACAGGGAGCTGGGGCCACGAAGTAAAGAGTTGAAGCTGAGAGTACTGGAGAAGAGCAGTGGTGGGGAGAGTGAGTATGATCAGCCATAAACAGTACCCAGTAAGGCTCAAAATCACAGGATTCAAGAGAGTCATTCCTGGTGTTACAACAGCCCCTGAGATCTTTACAAGTGAAAATCTTCTCCTCGGAAAAAGGCTGGCCAGTTCACAAGACCCACACATTGAAAACTGAGTGTCTCAGTGCAAGCCACAGTGTTTGGGCTGCAAATTCCCCAGAGAATGTTCACATACCCACCCAGACTGGACTTCTGATTTAATGAAAAACACTTACTATAGTTCTCAGGTTTGACATCTTCAAACTTAGATTTTGGGCCAGAGGCTTTCCTTTTCACCCTTCTGATGCCTAGAAACCACCAAGCCATTGCATGATCTGGCTGAAAGGAGGAGGGGAGTATGCTACTCGATGCCAGATGAGCATTACAGAGAGCAGTTGGATTTCAGTTCAGTTGCACTAGTTGCAGGACCTGAGTTTGAAGGAACTTGCAAAACTCCACCTTATTTTCACAGGACGAGGAGACTCTCTCAATTGGTTTGTGGTGAAGTACGAGCATAAAGTCCCACTGAACCCTCCTGCAACTCTGAGGCTGCCTCGTGGGGTCATGGAGTTAAGTCCCCAAAGGCAAAAAGGGGCTTTTGGGGGGTGTCTGGGCTGAGTTTGTTCTTCCTCTCACAGATGTGCTTCTGGGACATACTGCTGTTTCACTTGACTCCTGCAGCAAACAACCATCTGGGAGGATGGTCTATTCCCTGACTCCAGGAGCTGGGCAGCTGCTCGCACCTGCGGCTACCCTTACACTGGAGGTAAACATATGACCTATGAAGAGCTGTGAAGTGTTCTGCCAGGGAAGTGTCATCTAGATGACGGGCCACTCCACAGGGAACTGGAATTCAGGATCTGGGAATGATACAGTGCCAGCAAACGAAGCTTCTAGAGTGAAGAATGGTATTGTCTTCCCCCTTACTCTCTAGCTTCCCTACAGCTGACTGAAGGAGTGGTAATGGATGGCGGATGGTTGGCCTTCCTGGTTCGAGGACAGTGTGATATAACAAGGGGCATACGTCTTCCTGGCCTGATGAAACTGCTTATGCAGCTATCACTTCACTGATAGTGATGTATGTTAGGGCCTTCAGTGCACAGCAATGGGATCCAGGCTCTCACACTCAGATTTTGACACTGTAGGCTTAGCAGATAAAAGATGAGGCCTGTAAGCTGCTTGTGTGACTGGGGATGAAGGAAAATATGCCACTTCTGGAGGGCGGTGTGGGTGGGAAAGGGATAGTGGGCCGTGCCTCTCAGTTAGTAACCCAAGAGCAACCTAAAGCTCTGGGGTCATAGATTGCTGCTCTGTGCCAGCTCACACGCTTAATCCTCTTACCACGTGAGCTCTGAGTGGAAGTCAGGCCTTTACCTCGCCTGGGGCGTCACCAGACGTAGACTCTCTGTGACTTATTTGCATCCTGTTCTCTTTTAAGCTGCTCTACCATGAGTCTCCTTTGTCCCCGAATCCCCAGTATGCCACATCACTGCGCACCAGCATCACGCCCACCAAAAAAATCGAGATGGACCGTACCATCATGCCTGATGGCACCATTGTGACCACTGTCACCACCGTCCAGTCAAGGCCCAAGGTGGACTGTAAGCTGGGTAAGGACTGATTAGGACTTCATACAGGGGCAGGTGTCTAAGACTTTGCTGGTGGCTGCTTTAGCAATATGAAGTTAACTCTTACCTTGTCAGGCCTAGCTCTGTGGTACATAGCTAAATTTTGTAGCAGTCAGATCCAGCAATCCCTTCAATGTGCTCCTTTTGCAGCGGGGAAGAAGGGTTACTGTCGGCACTGCGAGTGGAGATGGTGGTGGTACCATTGCTATTTCACTTCCTACGAGCTACTTAAGAACGTAGGAACGGCCATACTGGGTCAGACCAAAGGTCCATCTCGCCCAGTATCCTGTCTTCTGACAGCAGCCAATGCCAGGTGCTCCACAGGAAATGAACAGAACGGGTAATCATCAAGTGATCCATCCCCAGTCGCCTATTCCCAGCTTCTGTCAAACGGAGGCTAGGGACGCTTGGGGAATCTCGCTGTACCCTTGGAGGATGCTGTTGGCACTTTGCTAACCGTGGGGAGATAAATGTAAAATGATAAGCCTCTTCAACCACGCTTAATAGAGACAGTCTGGAGATGTGGGTTTTAATCCGTGGACTGTTTTTGGCTTTTGATATGACTTTGGTCAAATCACTTCCCCCTCTCTCTTTCAATTTCCTTATCAATAAAATGGGGATAATACTGAACGCATGTGTTTTGGGATGTTAATTTGTCAGCACAGAGCATTACATATTATTTGATAGACCCAAATCCCCTTCCACCCTGCTGTGGCACATTTTTCAGATGAAGAGGAGATTTGCAGTTTGCTCCCCTGGTGTCACTGTTTTAATATATATATATTTCCTGGGATGGGGTGGGGAATCATAGAATATCAGGGTTGGAAGGGACCGTGGGCGGTCATCTAGTCCAACATGCTGCTCAAAGCAGGACCAATCCCCCAATTTTTGCCCCAGATCCTTAAATGGCCCCCTCAAGGATTAAACTCATAACCATGGGTTTAGCAGGCTAATGCTCAAACCGCTGAGCCATCTGGGTATGCTAGGTCTAGTGTCTGGGCTGCTACACAATACATTTGCCCCATCTCTGATGGCGATCACTCCTCTCAGTGTGTGTTTTGTAAACAAGTCCTTCTGGATGTAAGGGGTCCAGTGGAGTCCCCCAAAGAGTTCACCTCCCTGTGTCTGTATGGGGAAATGGTGAGTTAATTTCATCCTCCTCAAAAGGCAGGTGACCTCAGCTGAGGCCTGGCTCTTCTTAATTTTGTGCCTCTTTCCTTTTTGAGTCTAGATTCACCCTCGAGGTCCCCATCCAAAGTGGAAGTGACAGAGAAGACGACAACAAGGCTTTCAGAGAGCAGCTGTCCCAGCAGTGCCTCACCCAGCAACAGCTGTAAGTGCACAGGAAACTGAGATCCTAATCTGGAGCAAAGGCGCTCTCTCCTCCTTCACAGTGAAAAGCTGGGGATTGAGTTGGTGAGACTCATCAGCAGTGGCCAAATGCAGCTCATCCTCATGGCCCCACTGCAGGAGGAGCCTCTTGGATTAGAATGTTCCATATGGTTTTACATTCCAAACCTAGAATTCTTCATGATCATTGAAGCAAATTTCCTGAGTCACTCTAAGGGGAAGAATGGGTTAGTTAAAAACCCAACCCTCTACTCCTTGTTCTCAATTGTTAGCTTTGTGTGTGCGTGCTCTCAGTGTATACTGTCCCAGCTCTGTGCAAATAGCTGACACAGCAGACCTCGATCGAACTGCCCAAAAAGACACAGACTCTGTTCTGTAGCAAAGACGTTCAGCCAGGTTTATTGTTGTCGAAGCACAGTCCTAGTATCCCAAAGACTCTACAGGACCACTAATGCATGTATGCCCGTTACAATGGACTAGCTCAGTGAATGGCAGGACTGGGACTTGCCATTCCCTCTCCTCAGCCAGACAAAGACCCCCTCTTTATACACTGATACAAACAAGTTACCTATTACCCTTCTGACGTGGTTAGTTACCACCCTTTTCTTTGTACATGTTGGTAGATCAAACCCTCTCTGTCCATCACGGCTGTCGTCCTGACCTTACCTTTAAGAGGGCCAGTGTGTCCCTGTACCATCTTCATGGAATGTGTTTCCACCATATCTTGGTATTAGGGTGTTCTGGCACTAACCTTCTAGAATATGTTTACATGAATACTTAGTGCCAAGAAGTGCTTGTGGTTTTTTGAAATACCAGTCCTATTTCTGCCAGGTTCTGTGAACTTGCAAATAGGCATGTTTTGTAACAGCGCCTGACTTCTGCTCATAGCTTGACTCTTGCAAACTTGGTTTTCTTCAAGTGATTGCTCATGTCAGTTACAAGTAGTGTGTGGACGTGGCGCGCACACATAGTCTGAAGGTTTTTCCCCTAGCGGGAGCCGTCAAAACAACTCTGGAGCTCTATGGAGCGGCACTCCTATGGAGGTGAATAAGGTCCCTGCCGCCTCTTAAATTCCTTCTTACTGCCAGTGTCATTGTTGGAGCTGCTTTGTTCTCTTGCCTTGGGCAAGCTGTTCTCCTAGCAAACAGTTGTTCTTGTATCCTATATAATTAGTTCATAGATAAGTTTCTGTTGGGGGTTACCCTCCACCCCCTATTTTCCTACTCTCCTCCAGGGACCGAGGTATGCCTCGGTCTCGAGGCTTCAGATCCTGCGGGTCTTGCCAGAAGCCTATGCCCAGGAGAGAGCTTCACAACTCCTTCTTAAAGTGCTTGGGGGAAGCCCACCAGGCTTACAAGTGGAGGATCTTCAGGAGCTTCTCCCCAGGGACTGAGAAGGAGAGGGACTTCAGACTTAAGCTTCTACTTAGGCAGTCGGCTCTCCATCCCCAGCTGGCTCAGACCGCTTTGGGATCCAAGCCCAGTGCTTCGTTGTGAAGAGGACCGGTCCAGATACCCGTGGTACTGACGCTCTCCGGCACCGAAGACAAGTTTGGCAAATTCTCAGCACCGATCTCACTTGCCAGTGCCGCATAAGAAGCAGAGAAGAGCTGAAAGGGGGCCCTTGCCGACAATCTGAGCAAGGGAGCGCGAGGATGCCTGCAGAGTGCATCCCACGTTGGGACACTCTGCTCCTGCTCGGGGCAGTCGGTACCATTGACTCCGGCCACCCAGGCGGAACCATGGAGTCTGTTTCCGTTGGACTCTCTGGGACGGGAGAGCCAAATCAGGGAGTTGGACATGCCGTCCACTCCTGAGGCACTTGAGGCCGCCAGGGACCTCGTAGAGGTGGCAACCCAGCACTCCCTGGCGCCAGCAGAGCCAGGCATTCTTGCCTCAGCATCGATCACTGGCACTGTCCCACATGGCACCGCCATGGAGCCTGAGATCAGACTCTGAGCCGGAGTCATATGTTTCCAGATGCAGCTGGCACCGGTCTTGTTGCTCCAGGCATAACGAGATGCGGCAACTTCCAATGATGCCCTGGCCACCACAGTGGCAGGCACCCACTCAGTGGCCATTCTGGACCTCATGGGTGTATCATCAAGCCCAGGGGCCAAGCTCCAGGTCCCTTTCGATTGCCTCGGACAGACGGACCTCCATCTGCCGCCATGGTGAGGGAGCCTGCAAGGGGTTCCGAGACCAGCGCCCGGCCCAGCACCAAATTTGGCACCAAGTTTGCGTCCGGAATCGCATCTGCCACTGCGCATTAAATATCTGCACAGGAGTACCTCTGAGAGTTGGAAGGTTAGGAGGATCCCATGCCGATGAGGGCTTCTTCATCCTCCTTCCCGGACAAGGCAGTAACGGGCTCTTCTGCCTCCTTACCGGCTTTGGCCAATAGAGCCCATCAGGAGCTGCTCAGAAGAGTAACCCAAAATCTTGACCTGCAAGCGGAGGAGGCGTCAGAAGAAATGGACCTTATGGCGGACATTCTGATGCCAGAAGGTCCTTCCAGGGTGGCCTTGCCATTGATCAAGACTATCCACAATACTACCAAGACCCTCTTGCACACTCCTGTTTCCATTCCTCCCACAGCTAAAGGGGTGAAGAGGAAGTACTTTGTACCCTCTAAAGGGTACAAGTACCTTTTTACCCACCCTCAGCTGGGCACACTGGTCGTGGATGTGGCCAATGCCAGGGAAAGGCAGGGTCGCCAGGGCCCCACTCCAAAGCCTAAAGAGGCAAAGAAGCTGGATCTCTTTGGCCATAAGGTCTATTCCACCGGGGGGCTCTAGCTTCAAACAACTAATGAGCAGGCGGTTCTTAGCTGCTATAGTTTTAACTCCTTGGGGGGGCGGTTTCCCCTCACCCCCATGCCTGGGAGCCAGGGGAGCAGAGCAGCCTGGGGCCCCAGGCCTCCACGGGCAGGGGCAGGAGGAGCTGGCTTGGAACTCCCTGTCCAAGTTTAAGGAGCTACTTTCATCTGACGCCCAATCTGACTTTGGGGAGGTCCTGGAGGAAGGCAAGGACTTCCTTGCAGGCTGCATTAAATTCAGCAGACTCGGCCACCCGTACAATGTCCATAGCCATTGTCATGTGGTGCAGCTCGTGGCTACAAGTCTCGGGCCTCCCCCTGGAGGTCCTACAGACTATACAGGACCTGCCCTTTGATGGTGTGGGTCTCTTCACTGAGCAGACAGACTCTAAGCTCCATAGACACAAGGACTCTAGAGCAGGGGTGGGCAAACATTTTGGCCCGAGGGCCACATCTGGAAATAGAAATTGTATTGCGGGCCATGAACGCTCACAAATTGGGGTTTGGGTGCGGTGGGGGGTGGGTGAGGGCTCTGGGGTGGGGCCAGCAATGAGGAGTTCAGGGTGTGGGAAGGGGCTCCGGGTGGAGGAGTATGGTGTGGGTGGGGGAGGGGAGAGGAGGGATGAGGGCTCCGGCTGGGGGTGCAGTCTCTCTGGGGTGGGGCTAAGGATGAGGGGTTTGGGGTGCAGGAGGGTGCTTCGGGCTAGGATCAAGGAGTTTGGAGGGCAGGATTTGGGGTAGGGGTTTGGGGCACGGGGAGAGGCTATGGGGGGTGCAGGCTCCAGGCCATGCTTACCTCGAGCAGCTCCCAGAAGCAGCTGCGGTGTCCCCACTCCGACTCCTATGCAAAACCGCTATGCACTGCACTGTCTTCAGGCGCCACCCCTGCAGCTCCAGTTGGCCACAGTTCCCGGCCAATGGGAGCTGTGTGAACGGCGGCAGCGTGCAGAGCGGAGCCCCCTAGCTGCCCCTACGCGTAGGAGCTGGAGCGGGGCCATGCCGCTGCTTCTGGAAGCCGCGTGGAGCGGCCCCTGACCCTCCTTCCTAGCTGGAGCAGCGGAGCAGGGCCAATGCAGGTGCTTCTGGGAGCCACGTGGAACAGCCCCTGACTCTGCTCCCCAGCTGGAGCGCCACAGCACCAGAGGGGGGCAAGCCCCAGACCCCACTCCCCAGAGGGAGCTCAAGAACCGGCTTAAAATGGCTGGCGGGCCGGATCCAACCCAGGGGACGTAGTTTGCCCACCCCTGCTCTAGAGGAACTTTAAAGTCCTTGGGGTTTCATAGGCCGGCCCCACAAAGGAAGCATTTCAAGCCTCTGCCCCTCTCAGCCGAGGAAAGACTATAACAAGAGGCGGGGTAGGAGTAACAGGAGAAGGCTTCCGCAGTCCTCCATTACCCAGGGCCAAGGCTCGGCGAGACAGTCGCCGGTTCCTAAGAATTTTCTCTAAGAACATGTCCATTCCAAGATCCACTTGCCTCCCCTTTGTTGGCAAGAAAGAACTGAAGAGGTGGCAGGTTATCAGGGACTTATATTCACTGCCATAATGGTGCCACTCCAGGGGGCTCCACAGCTGACCTGACGGGCACCGCTAGGAGAAAAACCTTCCAGTGACCATGCACACGGCGCGCACACACCTACTGGGAATGAACATGAGCAACACATCTCGCAGATCCAAAGTTACGATAGGTAGGTAACTGTTTTTTAGACCTTACAGCAAGCCCCTCATACAGGCCTCATGTCTCAGGCTCTATTTCTACTACACTCCCTAAGTTCCTTCCAGACACTGTCTCATCAATCTTGTATGGCATCTCATCCCAAAGTGCTTCACGGGTTGTATACACATGGATTGCTTCTTATCTCTGAGATAAAACACACCAGCTGTTTAATAGTATAAAACAAATCTTCACGACAGTTTAGGACAGGAGGTGAAGCAGAATCTCATATCCATTTGAAACTGCATGGTGGATTTAAGGAGGCAAAGTGCAATTGTCAGAGTCAGTAGTTTGTGCCAGGACACAAGCAACCAAACTCCTAATAATTTATAAAAAGTTCTAGGGGAACTTCAATGCCCATGAGTGGCTGGAACTCTGAATTTTTAAGTTTTTTAGTTCAGCTATCTACTCTTCCAAGACTTCCTTCTCCAGCATCATGCAGGTCATTCAGGAAAGGCTGTGGTAACTTCTCTTCTTGGGCCTGTTTCACGCACTCACTCACATTCACTCTCACTCACTCACTTGGACCACTGGTAATGCATCTCAGTCTGGAGGTGACTTATCTGTGCTCAGGAGTGCTGCCATCATGTCCGGGGGTTGTTTCCTCTTTTGTGTTCAGGGGACAGTCACATGTCCAATGGCTTGGATCCTGTGGCCGAGACAGCAATCAGGCAGTTGACTGAAACGAATAACAAATCTGCCAAGAAGACCCCGACAAAACGCAGCACACTTATCATCTCGGGAGTTTCCAAGGTAACTGGTGATCTGGGACCTCTCCCCTGAAGTTGTGTACTGAGGGTTGTTAATAGGGGTATGGGTGTCATGATGCTTGGTCCTGCAGGGGATCTCCTATACAAAGGAATCTGTTTGTGCTGAATAATGACCTGCAATCATGTAGTATCACTCCACAAAGGATCTCAAAGCACATTGCCATCACTGAAATGCACCTGTCTTTGGGTGTTCAATAGGTCACAGCAGTAGGATAGGAAGTTAGTGAAGATGATGCAGTGTCCAGTTGAATCTTCATGGGGGATTTAGAGAGGGGGAATGGGATTTCATCAGATGTCCCTGGCTGGAGGAGGAGGAGAACCATGCTGTGTTATGAGATCCACACACTTCAAATATCTCTCGCCAAATAATGGCAACTATACAAACATACGTTCTCCTAGCAGGACTCTAGGGCATTGGCTCCTCTGAGGAAACAGAACTTGAAGGCTTGAGCATCAAAACATGGGGTTTCACAGCGCTTGAGAGCATGCGCAAAGCCCATCCGTCCTGAGCCTCAGAGTCCCACCTGATGTTCCTCTCATGGGGCAGTTTAGTGTTTTGAAATAGAACTCTGTAGCTTCTCCTCTCCATCCAGGCCCGAGAAGCTAATTTTCCTCCTAGATGGGAGAATTAGTAAGAATGGCTTGGGCCATCTCCTCTTTATTTTTAAGGAGGGGAGGAGATGGCCCAATGGAGACGAAGGTAATTTGTGAACTTTAACTCTCAACTTCTGTCTGTTTTGACCTTTGCATCCCCTCCAGGTACCAATTGCCCAAGATGAAATGGCACTTTCTCTTGGTTATGCTGCATCTATGGAGGCCACCATGCATGGATATTCCATAATGGCAGACATGTGCGACCACCCCCAGAGCTCCACTGAGCCATCTCAGCTGCTGGAAGCATCATTCTCAGGACAGAGAGCTAGTCAGGAGCTGGATGAGACAACACGATCAGACATCTCTGAGAGACCTTCGGTGGAGGACGTGGAATCTGAAACTGGCTCCACAGGAGCCCTCGAAACCAGGAGCTTAAAAGATCATAAAGGTGAGGCTGAGTGAGCAATGTTCAGCACAGCAGGGCCAGGGGGATGACATGATAGTCTCACACTTTGGCAGTGCAACATCTTTCTTCTAGCGTCCGACATGTGGGTCACATCAATTTCACTCATGTTCTGTGTTACTGCTTTTGTAATGGGGAGCGGGAGGGAAATGTTCTGAATGAGTAGTTGTGGCTACTTCCATAAGGGTTTGGGGTTTTTTTTTTAAGGCAGTCACTTCTTGTGAGCAAATCAAGGTGAACTGTGTACTGTAATTCACGCTGCTAGCTAGGAGATCTTGCTAATTACTCAACTGAGTAAGTGAGCAGGATATATTACAAAACACCAGAAAAGTATAGTGTAATTTTTAAGACTAACTCACTAGTAAGTATTCTGCAGGTATAGCTCATAAGTTACAATGACTCTCTCATGGGGGACCTTGCTATAGCGCAGGGGTGACTAACCTGTGGCTCTGGAGCCACATGCAGCTCTTCAGAAGTTAATATGCGGCTCCTTGTATAGGCACCAACTCTGGGGCTGGAGCTACAGGTGCCAACATTCCAGTGTGCCAGGGGGTGCTCACTGCTCAACCCCTGGCTCTGCCACAGGCCCTACCCCCACTCCACCCCTTCCTGCCCCTTCCCCTGAGCCTGCCGTGCCCTCGCTCCTCCAAACCTCCTGCATGCCACCAAACAGCTGATCAGGAGGTGTGGGGAGGCATTCATCAGCTGGGCTGTCGGTGGGCAGGAGGTGCTGGGACTGGGGTGGGGGAGCTGATGGGGAAGCTGCTGACACATTACTGTGGCTCTTTTGGCAATGTACATTTGTAAATTCTGGCTCCTTCTCAGGCTCAGGTTGGCCACCCCTGCTATAGTGTCTTTTCAAGCTTTGATGAGAGTTGGAGCTGGTGTTAGGTGTATGTGTGTGAATTATGGGATGGAGGTTCTGCTGTAGTTAAGGTAAAGGAACCAAACACTTCTGCCTAGGCTAAATATTGATTGGTGGCCTGCAAATGAGGCAGGAAAATTGCGCTGGAGCCCCGGTTTAAACATAAGAAAATGGTCCTGAACTCATCCCTAACTTCCCGAGACCCATTGTCATGTATGTAAAACTAATGAGCTGAAATTCGTCAAAATATGAACCATGGAAAAGTTTTTTTGGTTTTTTTTTTATTAGGAGAGACTCTTGCCCCCATATCGATGAGCCTGAGAGATAAAGGTGCAGGATTGCATTGTGGTCACTAGCAAAGAGCTAGTTTCAGTGATCACCAATAAGGAAATGGAGACAGAAGGGTGAAAAAGATAAGGAAGAAATGGCGTGCTAAATCATTGAGCTGATCTCTTGCCCACTCCCCCTTGCTTGGAGGTAGGCTAGTGGAAAGATTCTCAACCAGGGGTTCGGGGCCCCCTGGAGGGCCGCGAGAAGGTTTCAGGGCATCCACCAAGCAGGGCCTATGTTAGACTTTCTGGAGCCCAGGGCAGAAAGCCGAAGCCCCACCGCATGGGGCTGAAGCCAGAGGCTCTGAACACTGCCACCTTGGGCTGAAGATGAAGCCTGAGCAACTTAGCTTTGCGGGAGCCCCCTCTGGTGTGTGGCCCTGGGCAACTGCTCTACTTGCTACCTCTAATGCTGGCCCTGGCTTTTATATGCAAAAAAATTGTTGTTGTGGCACAGGTGGGCTGTGGAGTTTTTATAGCATGTTGGGAGGGGGCCAGAGAGAAAAAAGTTGAGAACCCCTGGGCTATTGTATCCCCAGAGCTCAGACAGGAAACCAAGTGGTGGTACTCTCCCAGGCTGCAGACACAAGGCAAGTTCTACCCACTTGAGATGCCGCTCAAAGTCTATTGTATGGATGGTCAAAATACAGTACAATCACATGTACTCTGCTGGTCCTCTTGGGCCTGATTCCCCTTTAAATTAGGTTTGAAAACAACCTTGGAACTGGATTAAGGTATAAGCACAATCGACACATACCGAGGGCCTGTGGTCTATCATGAGATTTTGATGCATTTCATTTTTAAATGAAAGCTGTTTCTAGCCCTTGTGGTTGTTAAGAAAAACTTGAAAATGTGAACTGAATGTAACTGATGTAGTGATACCCAAGTCAGACGGTCTCCAGCAGAGAAAGGAGCAGCAGCCTCTAGAGCAGTGGTTCTCAAACCTTTGAATTGGTGACCATAGGCGCCAACTTTTGTCAGCGCCAGTGGGTACTCAAGCCCTGGCTCCAGCCCCTCCCCAACTCCGCCCCTCCCTGCCTGTATTGGATCCCTCCCCAAATCCCCACCCCGGCCCCGCCACCTTCTCCCCCAAGTGCGCCGTGTTCCTCCTCCCCCCTCCCTCCTAGGCTTGCCATGCAAAACAGCTGTTTCGCGGCACAAGCGCTGGGAGGGAGGGGTGAGAAGCAGGACCCAGCGGCGCTTTCAGGGGAGGAGGCAGAGTGGAGGCAGAGGTGAGCTGGGACCAGGTGGGGAGCTGCCGGTGGGTGCAGAGCACCCACCAATTTTTCCCCATGAGTGCTCCAGCGCCTATGTTGGTGACTCCTTTCACACAGCAAGCCTATGAGTGAACCCCTACTTATAAATTAAAAACATTTTTTTATATATATTTAACACTATATTATAAATGCTGGAAGCAAAGTGGGGTTTGGAGGTGGAGGCGGACAGCTCGCAACCCCCACAGAATAACCTCATGACCCCATGAGGGGTCACAACTTGTGTTCCCTCTAGGCTGCGCGGTTGGGTGGCCGTCCAGGAGTGATTCAGAGGCCATGCACTTGATTAGCACAGCCGTGCACATCTGGCGATGTGTGTTCAAGTGCCCCTCACCATATTGCTCCTGCAGCTGCTCTTGGGACCCTCCTGCTGGCTGTGCAGAGCGGGAGGTGAGGGCGGTGCTGATGTCAGGGTGTCCCCTCCACCCCCGTACCCTATCTCCTCAGAGAAGGGGAGAGGGGACAGCCTGGCTGAGGACACGGAACAGGAGAGAGCTGTTGGGTCTGAGGTCTGAACCAGCCTTCCCAGTGAGTGAGTGCCTTAAAGAGACAGGGCATCGTTATGTCTGTCTTCCTCTTCATTTTGTCTCTTTCTCCAGTCAGCTTTCTCCGGAGCGGCACCAAGCTCATCTTCCGGAGGAAGAACAAGCAGAAGGAAGCAGGCCTGAGCCAGTCGCATGATGACCTGTCCAATGCCAGCACCAGCTCTGCCACCAGGAAGAAAGCCAGCAGCTTCTCCCGGCGCCTCATCAAGCGCTTCTCCTTTACGTCTAAATCAAAACCCAAGGCCAACGGCAGCACAACATCAATGGGCGAGAACTAAGGGTGGGATGAAAGATTGCATTGGAGCCCCCTTTGTCTCTGTGTCTTTCCCACCCCAGGTATCTGCGAACTACAATCCAACTCCTTCCTCCTTCAGCTGAGGTGGATACTTCACCTCCCCTGGTCCTTTATATTGGTTGAGGAGGTAAGGGAGTTATGAACCCAAAACTTAGGTTGATTAGCAACCCTGTTTCTGCCTCTTCCGGATATCATGACCCATTTGTGCTTGCAGAAGCCCTGATAGCTTGCTAAGCAGTCATTCTGACTGCTCCAGGCACTGGTGGAATGACTCCATGTCCTCCTGATTGCCTTGCACCTTTGACTTCTCCAAATGACCTCTTAGAAAGGGGATGGGGTCTCCGAGGTGTCTGCTCCAGGGTTAAGACTTAACTCCTTAGTTCCTGAAATCTTTAACTGTGTGACAAAAGAAACGCTTGATTAACTTTTTTGGGGAAAAGGGGTTAATCTATGGACGATCAGGGCTCCTCCACTGTACTTCTGCATGGTGCAAAGTTCATGGTCTGACTGAGGAGTGATACCCGTTCGCTGCAGGGGAAAGAGTAACTCCATAAACTAGTTACGCTATTTGAACAGTGCCCCCCTGTTTTGTAGAGAATGTTGGGGATTTTTCTTTTAAGGGAAAGGACTTACCAGAAGAAGGGAACACTAGGTGAGACTCTGCAAGACAACTGGGTCCTTGCAAAAGTCATCTTATTATCACTACTGCAGCAGCTGCTAGCCAGCCATGAGGCTCCCTCTATTGCCAGGGTGTTATAGAAAGATGAACTGATCTATAGATGTAGCTCCCCCAAATGTGGTGTCCACCACATTTAGCTGTCTGGACCAGCAGCTAGTTTTTATACATATGGTCTCCTTTTCCTACAGAGATGGCTGGGGACACTGGAGGAGCAGATGTTATTTGGTCTTGTAGAATGCAAAGTCCTTGCACTGTGCACAGCTGTTGTGGTCCATAGGTGCTCTACTCTGAAGACAAACATGATGCTCAGAAAATGAGGGATAGATTTGTGCTGGAGGAGTGTTTGCTATGTAGCTTGAAGTTTATTTTAGTGGCCCACATGCCCCATTCTTTAGTCGAAAGAATAAAGGTAAAGTCCTCCACAGAAAAGATTTGACTTGTTAAAATGGATCTTTCCCTAGTGGCTCCTGATGGCACTGACGACTCCTCCTCCTGCAAATCTGATTCTGACTACGTATCTTTCTTTCAAGTAGTATGAATGTCCTCAATTTGTCTTGTATTGGCAGAGGAAATGATGCTAAGAAATGCAGAGGCCTTCAACTTCATTGCATGGAAGAGAATCAAGTAGACAGGCAGACGCTTTGCCCTGAATGTGGCAGGGGTTAGAAGTTTCAGAATTTACTTTTCATTTAAAAAAAGGGGGGGGGGGAGCTTGTATGTGGAAAAAATTACTCCTGGGTGATTGCAGTAGGACGACAATTAAGTTTTGTAAAAATTACAGATGAAGTCCCGTCTATAGGAAAATCCTTGAACAGTGATCATGGGGCACATCAAAAGACTAGGAGGGGGTTAGCAGTATATAACTGTGAAGAGTTTAGGGCCAGGAACTATTCATGTTTCTGGGCTCAGGGCAGCACTAGGTTCTGGGTAGGATCCAGAGTACGCAGCTATGATTTGAAAGCTAATGAGTGGGGCACCTAAGTTAGAGGTGCTCTTTAGCATTGTCCCGCTCACCTCAGCTAGACTAGGGTGTGCACAGTATAAAACAACTGGTCCAGTTGGCTGACCAGTAGCCTCCTCTTTCCCCAGCTTTTGGTCCTGAACAGTCTGTTCAGTCTCAACATCCTTTCTATTTTTCTCCCTTTTCCTTCCTTGCTGAGAAACCATCATGCTTATGCCACTCCTTCCCACACATTATCGGCCCACAGCACCTGCTGTCTGTCACTGAAACATGAGCTCCTTGATGGAGACTGTGCCAAGATCTCAATTGGGGCATGTTAGCAGTTTTGGAGGACTCCTAGAAAGACGTATAACCCACTTTTCTGTCACAGCTCACCTTCCTCTGTGGTCTCAAAGCTGTAGGCTTTCCTGACTGGAAATCCTCCACCTGCCTCATTCTTAGTTTTGTTGTTTTTTATTTCTCTCAACTTTTGGGAGGTAGTTTGAGACTAAAAGTGGTTAACGTTCTGAGGTCAGACAACATCAATATTTCTCCAGTAGCTACCTGTGAAACCCTTCCAGGGATGCTATAGCAGCTTCCCTGGAAGGCTGAAGATAGTAAAATACCCATGTTTGAGGTTAGACTGAACATAAACTATGAGCTGAACATGACTTTGAATAACAGAAACAAGCAACTTCTGAGCTGCAACTTAACTGTTTCATAAGTTTGATTTGAGCTTAAATTCTTCTTAAACAACAAATGGAATGGGCTGTCTCTGCTGGAGAGTACCTGGCTGTGAAAATGCCAGTGCAGCTCATTATATACTTCTTCAAATGTAAAAATCCAGACAGTCCCTTGCAGATGGCTCCAGGGCATGGTGGATATCTCCTTAGTAGGGTTAAACTAGGAGTCTCGTCTTTACTTTCTTATGAACTTTTATTTAAAGTATCTGATAATTGGGTGATCATATTCTTAGAACAGGGTTGCTCCGTTTTATGGTCTTGGTTAAATGACACATTCTGCTCCTTTCTGCATCTTCACATTTGTACTCAGTAATTTTTCATGTATAGCTGCTACCATGCATGAGCCATAGATTGTGGGACTTTTGCCCATGCCTTTTGTGTACTTCTGGTTACTTGATATATGAGGAATGGTGATGCTTCAGCCTCACAATTAGGTGGGATTAGGTCAAGTAACTGATCTACTTTTAGCATACTTACAGGTGAAAGAGGCCATGTATGTCTTTAGCATCCAAACACTTCTAGAATTTCATGCGTTTAAGAAGCAGGTCCTACAGGATTTTATTTTCAAAACTGATCCTTCAGTCTTAAAAGATCTAACTTCTTCTTTCTCTACTTGTACTTATTGCTTTGAATGTTTGCTGTGTAAACTATCTTTCACAGAGGCTGCAGTACCCTCAATGGATTGTTTATTCCCTCAACCACTTGACTGCTCATCTTGGTGCTATCACAGTAATTGTGGTATAACCACCAGGATCCACAAGGATGAAGATTATTTTGCACTTTTTAGATTAAAGCTGCAAAGCATCTCCTTAAAGGGTCACTGGGGTCAAACACTTACATTTAATAAAAACTGGTTCTTTACCAGATATCAGTGTTTTGATGTGTGTGGGAGGAAAACTGAATGTAACGTTTTAGGGTTTGCTTTTTTTCTTTTTTCTTTTGGAAGAATTGTACTCTTTTGGCACATCTGCTGTGCATATAGTGCAACTTTCTGCTGGCCATTTGAGAACCAAAAAGTGAAAGTGATTCTAAACAAAATGAAACTGCAGTGTTATTGTCTAGCCTGAAACTAGTGCAAAAAAATACACAATGCAAATGAATGTCAGTGTCTAATGTGATGGTAATAACACACAGCAAATGAAATACATTTTAAAAATAGCTTTTAATTTGAATATCCTTTTCTAATTGGCTGGCAGGGCTGTTTTTAAGCCTACAGATGAAAAATTTAAAGTCCATTTTCTGTCCTCAGTCTACAGGCAGTCCCATCTCATGTCAATAGAAACTGCATGCATAGATAAGGAATGCTGTGCAGCTTTAAATGTTAAGGGACACACACATACAGGCTTAAATACAACAGGCTGTGTTATGGAGATCTCTCTTTCGAAGGCTATTTCAAAAAGCTGCATGTTAATGGAACCAAGTTCTGTGTGTGTGTGTAGGGGAGGGGGCTATGATATGAACTGATTGAAAAGGAGAGGTATAATCAGTAGGTCTGATTACTGCCCTTTACAGACTTTGTGGTGTTCCATACTGGCAATCCTCCCCATTCCCATAGGCATTTCTTGTAATGTGGTATGTTTAAAAAAGAGAGAGAGAGAGGGAGAAAACTGTGCTTCTTACAAATATCTGTTGAATTCACAGTCAGATGAGTAGAGGTTATGGAAGGGGGACTACATCCAGGCAGAGAATGGGACAAATAAGTGTGGTGAAGATGTGGATAGTGAAAAGTTTTATACAAACCTCTGCAAATTGTTCACTCTTTATTCAGCTAAGTTAATTACTACTTTAGACTATGCATGTACATATATACAGCATATTCGTGTGTGTGTGTGTGTGTATATATATATATGGAGGTTTTCTTCTATTTCCTCTGAGTTAATCATTACTTAGGGACTTGTTTCCTGTGAAAACATCTTTCTTTGGGTTAGATTTCAAATCCATAGAGCTGGGGGCTTGTGGGCAACTAGTAAGCCAATCTGATCCCAGATGGGACAGCAGCTGTAACTTAGACCTTATTTGTTCCTTTCAGCTGTTTTTTTTTCTTCCCTTCCTGTACATAACAAATATACAGTGAAAGTGTCCTATCCTTGGTAGCAGAGATTCAGTGAAACCCCTGATTTAAAAATAAAATAAAAAGCTGGTGTGTCCCCTGTGATATTGTAGCTCCCTTTACATGAGTGCCCCTCAACCCAGGACTCCTTTCACCGGTATCTGCTTGCTTTGCTCACTTGTACAGGTTCTGGAGCAAACACCCACACTGAGCCTGAGCTAGTGCCCCACATTTGTGCTCTTTTGTACTTTGATGCCTTCTTTGTGGGTGGATTATTTTAACCCCAGATTTCAATGCAAAGAAAAATAGGAACTGTTTAGCTATTTAAGAGAGTCAAGTACAATGATTTATTTAAAGATTAAACTAATGAAATTCTGCACCTTTGTAAATGTTTAAGAAGAGTTCCATTGCTGTGTAATGGCCTGAACTTGTTAACTTATTAAACTAAATGGGAGTTATAAACAGTATCTTGTGTCCTCACCTCACATGTCTTGGAGTTTGTTGAAAAGGTTTGAATAGCCAGAAATCAAAAAACAAACAACCCCAATTGTTAAATTTAACAGCTTATGGAATTTGCAATATACTGTAGTACTGGAATAATAGTTAATGAGAGATGAAGCCTTCAGCAGTTGCTGTGTGACTAGACTAGTCCTATCAGTCCATCTCTTCTGCAATATACCACTTTTCAGAGAAGCAAGCGGTGGGGGGGAATGCATCCATACAAGTTTGTGGTGTGGGTGATGTAACACTCCAGCAGCATTAGTTGCCTCCGTGAAATAGTTAGCTCTGTTCCTTCTTTACTTTCTCTGCTGTATACCTTGTGCTGTTGGCTCCTCCTTTCCACCTGCCTCTGCAACAGCTTTGGTAGACATTTTAACCTGTTACGTGATGCAACTCATTAGACCTCCCTGTATGGAAACTTAATTCTGCTTGAAATAGGATGTAGCCTATACTGAGACATGTCTTATTTCTAATCAAGTGTCCCATATCCTGTATCAAGTCTATATAGGATACATTGTGTCCTTGATTCCACTAATACCATGGCGCTCAAACTTTTTTACTGGTGACCCCTTTCACACAGCAAGCCTTTGAGGGCAACACCCCCCCCCTTATAAATTAAAAACACTTTTTAAAATATATTTAACACCATTATAAATGCTGGAAGCAAAGCAGGGTTTGGGGTGGAGGTTGATAGCTCGTGACCCCCTATGTAACCATCTCAGAACCCTCTGCGGGGTCCTGAACCCCTGCACTAATACTAAGGTAAAGAATCCTACACTTCTAGCATGGTTATGGTTATTATACATAATAAATGGTACTCTTAATCTTTGTATGATTGTTTTCCACATATCTGCCCTTCACTGCTGTGAAAAAAATAGAAAACTAGCCTCCTGTAGGGTAAGCCGGCCACCAGCAGCTGTGTGACCTGTATGTAAAAATGTCTTATAGAGTGATGGCTATATAGCAAAAGCCACTTGCACACCATGCAACAACAAATTGGTCCTAGAAAACCTATGAACAATGCTACATATTCTTGAGCCTCATCCAGTGGCCCATTATCTTTTAACTGACTACTGAATGTATGAATAGATAGGAAAAAAGTGCTGTATAAAAAGTAATATTATTATCCCCTGGAACATGGAGAGAGGAAAGAGGAAGGATGTCTGGGGTGGGAGCATTCATGAACAACTGAAGGGAATGGGGGATTGTTTAGAGCATCTAAGGAGCTGTCTATGGGGGGAGCACAAGGAGAGTGTTAAGGAGACACACACACACCTAGAGATATTTGCAAGAGCAGGTACGGTGGCAGAGTGGAGAAGGTTGCAAATGGAGATGGCTAAGATGAGTTGACAGTAGCACATAGGAAAATGATTAAGGGAATCCCGCAGTTCCTATTTTGGGATATGAGCTCAGGAAGATTAGTGGTGCAGGAGGGAGCTATCTAGTACAGCAGATGAAGGGAAGAGGGTACTTGGATATGTATGTGGAGACACTTTAAAAAGGTTCAGCAGGAGTACATGAGGGAGACTTAGTTAGGGAGGGCTTGAAGGGGGACTTTTTAGGGGGAGCATGCAGGGATGAATATAGGGTGCTGACAGAGACTTGTAAGGGGGAGAAGTTTGCAAAAGTACTCAGCAGGGACTTGCTTTTGGGTGAGCAGACAGGTAGAAGTTTGGAGTTTGCAGTAACCCACTGGGACAAGAATATGTATGGTTGGTGTTAGGGATGCAATCAGAGATGGGGAGAAGGCAAGTGTGTAGTTTTGGGGGGAATGCACGTGGGAGACTCTGGATGTGCAGAGGTGTAGTTTCAAGGAATATGCGCAAATGGTTATAGTAAAGGACGCACAAAGGGGATGTGTTTAGGTTTGGAGGGAGAATCATGTGGAAAGGTGATTGGAGTAACACCCCAGGGGCCTGTTGTAGGGGAAGGATGCAAAGTAATTAGTGGTGCATCCAGGAAAGGTTAATAGAGTGGGGAGCTGATTAGGATATCTGACAGGGATGTGGTGAGAGAGAGAATGTGTGGTTGGGTTGGGTTGGTTTTCTGAGGAGGGGAGGGAGATTGGAGAATATCATTCTTAGGCATGTGAGAGCAGCCAAATTATGTGAAAAATGGTTTTATCATTGCTACTAAATCAATCCGGGTTGAACCCTGTGCTTCAATTTCACTGAGGCTAAGATCTGAATAGAACACAAACACATAACAAACTTTTTTCAGATTTTGAAAGAAATGTACTGACATGAATAGAACTGACCTGGAGGATATTTTTTGAAGCTATCATTGCACAATCAAAAGTGTCCCTTTTAAAAATATTTTAAAATTAAAGCTAACTTAAACATTCCATGTTCCTTAAAGTGAGAGAAAAGTACAATTTATAAACTGGACTCTAGGACCAAGTTTTGCTAAATAAACACGTGCAGCCAAAACCCAGAGAAGTGAGAATGACCTGTGAGAATTAAGCAGCGTAATCAATGACTGTCGGCCTATGTCTCCCATCAGCCACGGCGGGCCCTAGGGCACCATGGGAGACATAGGGTCCTCTGGCCTCTAGCTCCCATTGGTCATTGCAGAGCCCAGCCGGCCGGGACTTCCCCTTTCCGGGGCGGTGCCCTGGCGAGGCCGCAAGAGGTCAGGCTGTGCCGCCATCGGGAGAAGGTCGGAGGCAGCGGGCGGTATAGGAAGCCATCTGGGGAAGGAGCAGTTAGGGGTTGGGAGATTGAAGACCTGAGATGCCGTGTTGAGGGGCTCTGGTCTGGAGCCCCGTGCAGAAGTCTGGCCCAGGTTCCCTTATAAGCCTCCGTGGGAGTGGCAGAGTGGGGTGGCCTATTTGGGGACTGATAATACCCTGGCTAGGGGGAAACTTCAGTGCTCTATAGAGCAGGGGTGGGCAAACTACAGCCTGCGGGCCAAATCTGGCCCGTGGGATTTCCACCCCTGTGGCACCGCAGGCCACGTGCCACTCCCAGAAGCGGCCGGCACCACGTCCCTGCGGCCAATGGGGGAGGAGGGGGACAGAGGGCTCCACGTGCTGCCCTCGCCACCCACCATGGGGAACCGTGACCCATGGGAACTTCGGGGGAGTTGCCTGCAGGCGAGGGCAGCGCAGGAGCTCTCTGTCCCCTCATCCCCCAGGGGCCGCAGGGATGTGGTGCTGGCCGCTTCTGAGAGCAGCGCGGGGCCAGGGCAGGGAACCTGCCTTGGCCCCGGTGTGTGCCGCTGCCACCCCAGAGCTGCTCCAGGTAAGCGGCGCTGGGCCTGACCCTGCCCCCCAAACCCCTCCTGCCCTGAGCCCCCTGCCGCACCCCAACCCCCTGCTGCACCCCAACCCCCTGCACCATCTCTGCTGCACTCTGCCCCCCTGCACCCCAACTCCCTGCCGCACCCTGCACCCTAGCCCCTTGCCTCACCCCTCCTGCACCCCAACCCCCTGCCAGACCCCTCCTGCACTCCTCCCTGCACCCCTGCCCTGAGCCCCCTTGTACACCCTGCACTCCTCCTCTGCCCCAGCCCCTTGCCCTGAGCCCCTTCCTGTCCCCCCTCCCACACCCTGCACTCCCTCCTGCACCCAAACCCCCTGCCCTAGCCCTAGCCCTACATTCATGGCCCTGCATGCAATTTCCCCACCCAGCTGTGGCCTTTGGGCCAAAACGTTTGCGCACCCCTATACTGGGATGTTTGCTGTCATCAGTGAGACTGTGCCGGCTTGGGCAGGTGCTTGGCAAGGTGGGGGTTGTAAATTTCTGATGAAGAATGCTCTATGTTAAATAAAATTACCCTGTGACAAACAGTGGCATCTGGTTCTTTTCTTAAAGTGTGAAATAGCAACTAGGGGTCACTGCCCAAATGGGGGGGGGGGGGAATGGATGGAAACACACATGGCACTGTCCCACCTGTGACACCCCAACACCTTGAGTCCCCAAATCCTTTTACCTGCTATCACTTGTTAATGGTGCCTCCCTCCACACCTTGCAGCAATCCAAGCTGGAGAAAGCGGACGTGCTGGAGATCACAGTGTAGCACATGGGGAGCCTGCAACAGAGCAACATCCTGGGTAATTTCAGAGGAACAGCCGTGTTAGTCTGTATTCGCAAAAAGAAAAGGAGTACTTGTGGCACCTTAGAGACTAACCAATTTATCTGAGCATGAGCTTTCGTGAGCCACAGCTCACTTCATCAGATGTTTACCGTGGAAACTGCAGCAGACTTTATATACACACAGAAATCATGAAACAATACCTCCTCCCACCCCACTGTCCTGCTGGTAATAGCTTATCTAAAGTGATCAACAGGTGGGCCATTTCCAGCACAAATCCAGGTTTTCTCACCCTCCACCCCCCCACACAAATTCACTCTCCTGCTGGTGCTAGCCCATCCAAAGTGACAACTCTTTACATAATCAAGTCGGGCTATTTCCTGCATAGATCAAGGTTTTCTCACATCCCCCCCACCCCCATACACACACAAACTCACTCTCCTGCTGGTAATAGCTCATCTAAACTGACCACTCTCCAGGTTTAAATCCAAGTTAAACCAGAACATCTGGGGGGGGGCATCTGTCTGTAGGCAAGGACTGGCCTGTCTCCCAAGACTTGTGAGAGTGTTGGGTCATCCTTTAGGATAGGTTGTAGATCCTTAATAATGCGTTGGAGGGGTTCCGCTATTCCTACCTGCATGCCTCCAGCTTTCACCCTGACCACACCACACGATCCATCGTCTACAGCCAAGCTCTGCGATACAACCGCATTTGCTCCAACCCCTCAGACAGAGACAAACACCTACAAGATCTCTGTCAAGCTTTCTTACAACTACAATACCCACCTGCAGAAGTAAAGAAACAGATTGATAGAGCCAGAAGAGTTCCCAGAAGTTACCTACTACAGGACAGGCCTAACAAAGAAAATAACAGAACGCCACTAGCGGTCACCTTCAGCCCCCAACTAAAACCCCTCCAACGCATTATTAAG